ATGATTTGTTGCTCTGGCATACTTTTTTCTTGTATTTGTTGCTCAGGTTTCTTTTCTTTCAGAGTCAGATCACATTTCTGAATCAGAAGAGAACAGATGTTCAAGAAATACTGAGGCCCAAAGTTAGCTACAGGTTTGAATTCAACATTCATCTCACTGGCATTAATAGTATTTGTTTGTAGTTTTATAGGTCCAAGACTATCTTTATACACAGGCAGGAAAATCTGGCTCATTGTGAGGGCAAGGGAAGAATTCTCTAGTCCCAAAAATCATGTTATGTATCAGCACATTTTCAATTCCCATCATTAATAACACTTCTGCAGGGACTTTTCAAAAGGAAACCTGCTATTTTTTTTGTTTTTATATTATTATGGAAAATTTTCAAAACTTGAAAGAAGTGGACAGCACAGTATAATGATCCTCATGTACTTATCACGTGGCTTCAACAATGATCAACTCATGGACAATCTTATTTCATCTGTACTCCTACTTCTCCCTTCCACGTTATTCTGAAGCAAATCCCAGGCATATTACTTCATCTGTAAATAATTCAATTCATATTTCTTATTTATTTAGAGAGAAAGGGGAAGGGAGGGAGAAAGACAGGGAGAGAAACATTGATGTGAGAAACACTGGTTGCCTTTTGTATACATCCTGACTGGGGACCAAACCCATAATGCAGGCATGTGTCCTGACTAGGAATTGAACTGGTGACCCTTCACTTTGTGGAAGGACGCCCAACTAACAGAGCCACACCGATCAGGGCTCAATTTATATATATTTTTTTAAGATTTTATTTATTCATTTCTAGAGAAAGGGGGAGGAAAGGTGAAAGAGAGAGAAACATCAATGTGTGGTCACCTTTCACGTATCCCCAACCGGGGACCCAGCCCACAACCCAGGCACATGCCCTGACTGGGAATCAAACCTGTGACACTTTGATTCACAGGCCGGCACGGCACTCACTCCACCAAGCCGCACCAGCGAGGACAACAATTCATACTTCTATAAAATTCTTTAAAAATCCATAACCTCAACATCATCGCCACAATTAATAATCAATGTATAGACTCATCAAATTTAGTGCCCACATTTTTCAGTTGTCTATAAATGACATGAACATTTGTTATTGTTCTTTTCCAGATTTATTTTTTGAACCAGGATGCAAATAAGTGTACACATTGTAATTGGTTGATATGTCTCTTATGTTTCTTTCAACCTATAGATTTCTCCTTCAGCTCTATATTTACCTTGCAATTGATTTGTTGAAGAAATTGGGTCCTGCATAGTTTCCCCGCAGTCTGGATTTTGTTGATTACATCCATGTGGGGTCATTTTACATGTTCTTTACTGCATTTTTCTGTTCCTTGTATTTCCTGGAATGTGGTAAATTCCATCTGGAGGCTTGTCCAAATTTAGGTTCTATTTGATTGGCAAGATATCTTCACAGGCAATACGTTCTTCCAATAGCATGCACAAAAAGTACGCTTGTCTCTCTTGTTGTGATACTAGCAGCCATTGGAGATCAATGTCCAGGTCCATTTTTCTATAAGGAGTTGCAAAAATGGTGATATTCTAATAATAATTCAATTATTCTTACTTCATTTTTAAACTAAAATACTCTGTAAGAAGAAAATTTTCCCTCATCTATAATTTGGAAATTTGGCTTTAACTGGTGTTATTTTTTCTGGGAGGGGAAACATATTAATTAACAAGTGGAAAGTGATTAATTTGTTTGATAAAAAGGTATGATGAATCATTTTCTTTAAGGTTGTAGAAACCTTCACCGTCAAAGAAAAGGAGAATATAAATAAAACTGAGAGAGAGGTGGTTAAATGGTGATCAGAAATCTGAGATATCTGGGAAGAGTAGTAAAGAAAGAAGAAACACAGATGCATAAAGGTAACACTTTTCTAAGTCTGTTCTTAACTGGAATAAAAATTTCAATTTGGAAGCCCATCTAATGGCTTCAAATACTATTTACTTAGTGAGGACGCCTACATTCATACCTCTAGTTGAGATCTCTCCCCAGGCTTGGCACAGTACCAAAACTCTACCTGACATCACTACTTTGCTGTCTGAAAACATCTCAAAGTTAACATATCTGAAATGGAACTTTTAGTTCTATCCCAAAATCATGATTCATATTTTCCCATTTCAATAAATGGCAGCACCATCCACCAGTTGTTAAAGCTCTCCCCCAAACAAACAAACAAACAAAAAACAGGAGTAATCTTTGACTTCTCAGCAAGCGCTATTGATTTTACCTTGAGATTATTAATTTCCTTTTTCTATTACTGCTGACATTACCCTAAACCAAATCACAACTGTTGAGAAACAACGGGACGATTACAATAGTATTTTGGCTTACCTTACCTTATGCATGTTGGCCCCCTCTAGTCCATTACAAGAAGGGACAGTGATCTTTCTAATATATTAATCGGAGATCATGAGCTGATAATCACTGATGTGTGATGGATTTGTTAAACTGATTTCTTCCCCTTCATATATGTTTGAAATTTCCAAATTAAAAAAATGTTATTCTATTTTATTTTCTCTTATCCTCTTCTTGTTTTACTTCTCTGCTGACTTTTCAATGTTCTTAGAATAAAGTTCAAATGTCTTGTCTAGACTTGCCCTCTGTCTACATGTCCAGCTTATCTGACGACACTCTTCCTGCTCACTCTGCCGAGGGCATAACCTGTCAGCTCTACAAACACTTTAAGCTCTTTCTTAACTTATAGCATTTGTACTTGTTATTCTCTCTACCAGAAAATGCTCATCCCCTAGTATTCTGCAAGGCCGGCTCCTTCTCTTCCTTCAGGTCTCAGCAAAAATATTACCTCCTTAGAAAGGCTATCCTTAACCACTTAATCTAAATTAGATCCTCTTCCTTCACTATTATAAAATAATATTTTATAAAAATATAGTTACTTATTATGACAAGAAAGTAACTCAAATGAATATTTAAAGATATTTGAGGGCATATACCTACTCATATCTCATTCTACTCTTTCATGTCATTTCTAATTCCTTGAAAAATGGGTGAATAGAATACAAATTTTAAGAATCTTGCTTCATAAACAAATATTTATAAACAAAATAAGATTTTGATCTTGTTTGCAAAAGTAGGTTTATAGGTGTGAGTACATGATACAGAGTTTATTCTTGTATTATTGACTAATTATTGTATTATTTTCCATGCAAACCGTTGTAAACCTACTTTTGCCCCACTGTGTATGAATTGGTAAAGGAGAAATTGTAATTAGAAATGCCTTTAAATACACTCTTGCTTTGATTCTGGATTTTTTAATGTTTTTGAAGTGCTGAATAATTTTAAGTGACAGCTATTGTTTAAATGGCTAATGTCTGGAATTATTTTCTGTATCATTAACATGACATCTCTCTCATTTTTGGACCAACATATTTAAATTTTATCAACTGTTAACTTTAGGAAACTCTCCTAACTGAAGAACTTATCAGGTATTTTTGGAGATTCTCTCTTCTGCTGGTTGTTGTCCTGATAGTGTCATAGGATTCATCTAAATCATGTTAGACCAAAAACTAGGCTACATAAGCCACCCCTACCAAATCAAGAAGATGGGAACTGTCTGCCAGTCATATGAAGGATGCCCCTAGCATGACAGAATTTTAGAACTGGAAGATAGCTTAGAGATCACGTAATGATTCAAGGCCCTCATTTTAAAAGGAAGTGAAACTGATGTTTTAATAGGTTAACTGACTTACTCTTCCCAAACGTAATTTCCTAAGCTGGTATCTCAAGTTTTAGTTTCAGAAGACCCCTAAGGAATTACATAGTAAGTTTGTAGGATATTAAGATCTGGAATGCAGGACTTTTATGCCATAAACCCATTATTTTCATTATGTTAAGATAAATCCTCCTTTTCCAACCTTTCCTCAGTCTTTTCAGCCCTTAAGTCTTCTCAAATTATTCCAGTGACCTCTGCTGCTCCTGTGATAGTGTCAAGATTTCAATAATCTCTTCCGTCTTTAAAAGTGGTTTAATTTACTAAAATACCAAACTTATAGTGAATAAACTCAATTGAACACATATCATTTGGTACCTCCTTCAAGTCTATTAGCTCTTGGGTTAATAGCTGCGCCTAAGTTTTATTCAGATTCTTTAAAAACTTGTGGACTTCATGGGTGCTGAGTGAAGAAGAAAGACATCTCTTATGTAAAATAAATGGGTACCCAAACTGATAATGCTTTGGTAGGCTGGTCATCAGTGGCAACGCTGATTAAGCATTTTTGGGTCGCAAGTCCATTATAACCTGGGGGCACTCTGAGGCACAATCCATTGTGGATCCTAGAAACTATTCAGTTCCCCTTATACAGGAACCTGCATTTCACATAGTTAAGGTACCCAGGCAAGTCTTTACAATCTATTAAAAAATGCTCCACATCCACATACCTCGAATATGTCACCACAGCAGTTTTCCCGTTTTCCCAGCTGCTGATGGCAGCCTAGCTTTCCTGTTCAGACAGTGATGGAGCCTGACTATCTCCTAGTTCAGGATTTTAAAATATGCCTATAAAACAACAGGGACTTGAAAACCCATTTAGATCCTTTCCTCTCTTCTGGCAGAACCACACCCAAACCATTCTAACAAGAGGAATTTCCTCCTGTTTTTATGTAGTAGCAGATAGACTCCATAACCTTCCATCATCGTTTACTGAGCACTCATCATTGTTCGCTGGGCAAAATTCTGGTGGCAATCAATCCCTCACTGCAGAACCCTCACATCCTGGTGTGGAAGCCCACTTCCTTCCTGGCCGATGTGGCCAGGCCTCATCGGTCTGGAAGCTTTAGCATACTCGCGGGTTCTGCTTCGAAGCTACAAAGGTGTCCAGAACCGAAGGACCCAGAGCCACAGCCCGCGGGCCAGAGTGGGCGTGCGTCGCTCTCGCGAGAGTTCGAGGGGTGGGGGCCGCTGGGGGCTTGGAAGGAGGAGGCCAAGGGTTGCACTGCGGCGGCCGCAGTGGCAGTTCTCCAGGGACCAGCGAGCGGCCTTTTCCCCGCCTCCCTTTCCTTCCCCTCCCCTTGAGAGATTCAAGCCGTGTGCTTCCCACTTCCGCCCCCTCTGCCTGCCATTGGAACTAGTGAAGCCGAGCAAGTTGCAGACCCAGAACAGCCGCTGCTGTCCTCCTCCACCTCCTCGTCGTCTTCTCCTTTCTCCTCTTCCCTGGCTAACGCTTCAGCCGCCGCCCCGAGTCCTCGCCACCGCCCGAGCCCTCAGCCCACGCTGCTGCCGACATGAGCTTCTTGTTGTGAGTAGCCAGGCCCTGCGCGCACCGGCTTTGTTCAGGCGACCCGGGCCGTGGGCCCCGGCCCACCTGGCCCCGCGCTGCCCGATCCGGGCGTTCTCACCGAGCAGGCCTCGGGGAACCTGCCCCGAGCGCTCGCGCTGCCTTCCTGCCACCACCGCTGCCGCCTCCCCGGCCCGCTTCGAGCACGCGTGGAACCGTCCAGCCTCCAAGGAGGCTCTGTCTCCCTGGACCCCAAGTCCCGAGACACCCTGGTGCATTTATCCATCACCCCAGCCTGTCCCTCCGCGATGCTCTTGGGTTTGTTTACTTGCCAGCTCTGAATAAATACCTCCTACTGCCTGCACGACCCATATCCGACGGGTACCGGGGCTCCCGTCTCAGTCTCCCCTGCCCATTGCTTTTTTTCCTGGGCCCGAAGTACAGAAAACTGAGCGTTGTACTCGCTGCCCCCTTGGATTTTAGGAGTGAGCAGTTGGGGTGACAAGTCCTGTAAATGTAACCTACTTAACGAGGCTGTGTACGGGTCGGGATCCACTGGTGACAGCCTGGGATCTTGGGATCTGGAGCAGCTCCTTGCTTCCCTAAAGAACATGGGTTTTATCTTTTCAGACAACCACCAAATAGGGCCTGGGTAGTGTGCACTGGGTTGATTAGGTCCACTGGGAAGTTGTTTTGCAAATCATTTGTAAATAACAACGTCACATCACGTTTAGTGCTGGTTGTCATTTCCCTTATCGTTTATTACAGACGTGTTGGGGGTTGGGGTATGAGCAGAAAGATGGGATGGCAAGGTGGGGGTATGGAGGCAGCACACAAGCCTTACATCCTCGGAAAACAGGACCTTGAACTCTGAGGAATTAGACTTTTGAAGGCTTCGTTGTGATTCACTTATGTTTAATCAGTGGTTAGAAAGCTAATAAAAACTCGGAGATTTAAACCCACTCCATATACTCCTTCACTGATGTAGAGAAAAGAGCATTTAATGATTATTTTCTGTTCTGATGCTCTCCTTTCCCCACCTCCCCTAATTTTTAGTCATCACCTTGACACCTGAATCCTTAGAATTTAACCCTTACTTTCAAATGCTCATATCTAGAATATTAATTCTTTTTCGGGTGTTTAAGCAAAACTGAGAGACCCCTGAGAAGGAGAGACCCCTGAGAAGGCTAACCTGCGGGCAGACTTGCTATTATTTCTAACATGCATAGGGGATCTGGCTTTTGTCATCCTGCCTAACACATTTGAGGTGGTGAAGCCTTTTTTTAAGGCTCATCCTAGAAGTTGAGTTTGTCAGATAGGTGGTGATAGATGAGAGGACTGGGTGACTTCATGAAAGTCTTTGTTTTGTATTTTAGTTTGAATCAACATATCTAGGCATCTCAGCTTAAAGCTTCTCATCTTGAGTCTATTACATTGCTTATGTTTGATTTCTTCATGAACTTGAAAGCTGTCTTCAAAATAGTAATGTAGATGATGTCCATGACTGCTGCTGCTGGGCTTGTGTTTCTTGGAACTCATAGTTAAATTGGTTGAAGCAGGGAAGGACCATATTTGGTGGAAACTAGGGCATAGACAAGGTTTTGTTAGTATTTTCTGAATACAAATACTATAGTATCTTATTTTTGCATGGCTTAATATTTAATAGCTACACAAATGGAATGGATAAGTTCATTTCTCCTGAGCATATTAGCTACCTAACAAAGATCTTGCCATAACTTATATAGCACATTAGAGGTTTGTACTATTTGGGGCATAGTATTTCAATCAGGTAACCTGTAACTGTTAATATATTCCCAACATCTTTAGCTTGTGTGTCAAAAGAATAATCCACTATTTTTGGTTTGGGTTTCTGTCCACCATTAGTTTAAAATCTGAAGTGAAGACTTTGTAGATAGAAATAATTATCAGAAGGTAAAGAACAAAGTTTGATTATTTCATCTGTTTGTTATTTGGTATAGTTTCCTGGATATTATTTCTGTACCAACAGGTGAGCAGAGAAAATAAGAGTTGTAATTTAGGAATGAAATAACAAATATTTTCCTCCAGTTCTTGGAAGCTTCTATGTAAATGGGTGGACCCAAGGAAATAAGGGCAATGTGAGATAAGATTATAAAGGTGATGACTCATAACTCATGACAGCTTTAAGACAGAAGAAAAGAATTTTAGTTAAAAAAAAAAAAATCATGTATTGTGCCAGGCACTGATATAGGCATTGGCTATCATTTGTGAACAAAATGGATAAAAATCCCTGCATTAGTGAAGCTTACGTTAAGCAACTGTAAACACTGAACATCAGTAAATTATATAGTATAGTAGGAGATCTTAAATGCCATGGAACAAAGTAGAGCAGGATGAAGAGGTTTTTTTGAATAGGGAGGTAAGGTAGATTAGGTAATCCCTAGAGAGTGTCCAGATAATCTGCTGCAGTGATTTCTTTGTGTAGTTTTTGTAGAAATGCTCAGAATAAATTTGCACCGAATAAGGGATCTGACTGGGACAAAGCTTTGGTTGTGCTGCGAATTGGCTTCTGTGTATCTTCAAATTAAACTGTAAACTCCCAGACGGTGCATAGGGAAACTTTGCATAGGAAAACTTCAAAGGAACCTAATTTAACTTTGTAGACTCAAATTTTTATTTATTTTTAAAAGATTGTATTTATTTATTTTTTTAGAGAGAGGGCAAGGGAGGGAGAAAGAGAGAAACAGGATCAGTTGCCTCTTGTACGAGCCCCACCAGGAACTGAACCTGCAACTCAGGCATATGTTCCCTGACTGGGAATTGAAACAGCAACTTGTTGCTTTGTGGGATGATGCTCAACCAACTGAACTATACCATGACTGGTAGTCAGGGTTGTAGGCTAAACTTTTTAAACACTTCCTTGGCACCTGCCGTGTGCTTGGCATTGTGCAAAATGTGAGGCTCTGGAGATAGTAGATAGTTTGTAAATAGTCATCTGTAATAGACTGTAATATTCATGGGTCCAGAGAATAAGGAGGAATTTATTCTATTTGGGCTAGAGGGAAGGTTTCATGAAAGAAGTAATGGGTATTAATGGAAATTATAGCAAGAGTTCTCTAAAAGGGAAAGGGGAAAGGGAGATTGTACTCAGGGGAGACATGGAGGCATGAAAAATTGCTTGTGAATTCTCCATTTTCAGGTTTGTCCAAGAGGCGATTGAATTTTGAAGCTAGATGGAATCTTGCAGTCACATAGTTTACTCACCTGTTTTTTGTTTTGTTTTGTTTTTTGCTAAAGTGGCAAAAATCACCAATTTCAGGTTACTGGCCTAATCATTGGCATGGATAGAATCTAAACACAGGTCTTTTGACTTCGAGTTTTTCATCTCCTGACATTTTATGCATATAAAATACAGGAAAATTTAGATCAGAGTGAGTTCATTTTTTTTTTTTTTTAGATTTTATTTATTTACGTTCAAAGAGAGAGGAAGGGAGGGAGGAATAAACATGACGTGTGGGAGATACACTGATCCATTGCCTTTGGCCTGCAACCCAGTCATGCTCCCCCACGAGGGATCGAACCAGCGACCCCTCAGTTTTCAGGCTGGCACTCAATCTACCGAGACACCGGCCAGGTCCAAATTGAGTTATTAACAATCATTCAAAAAGGGTTCTGATGTTCTCGATGTTTCTAGCATTTTAAAATTGTTAAGTCCCTTCTGATTGATGGAATTCCACAGAGACATTTAACTTAGAACAGAGTTAAAACAAATAATAGTTAACTTTAAAATGCAAGTCTGTAGGAAAGGTGGTTTAGGGATGTGAATGAATATAAACTAGTTCTGTTTCTGTATAGGAAGAAACAGAGTGCCACAGGGAAGAAAGGAAGGAAATATTTATTGAGCATTATGCTGCATACCGGTAACTTCCGTTTGTCTTTTCAAAAGGATAGCAATTTAGCAAAGGAGATCCAGGATTTCATTGTATGACTGTCTCTTGTCTTTCTGTCTCTCTCCAACCTCTCTTTTCTTTCCTTCCTTTGCCTCTGTCTCACTACCCCCACCCCACCGCACCTCACCCCACCCCTTCCCAGCATTGTTGTTTTCGGGCATATGATTTTAGTGCTTTATCATCTTCACCTGTAAAAGAATAAGATGATGATGATGATGATGAGGAATCTTCACCTGTAGAGGAGAAGAAGAAGAAGAAGAAGAAGAAGAAGAAAAGGAGGAGAAGAAGAAGAAAATAATAAATAACTAGCTAAGTACTAACCAGGCATAGCAGATACTCCATTTTACAGATAAAGAAACTGGCAAAGAGAGGTTAAATAATATGCCCAAAACTATGTAGCCAGTCAGTAGTATAAATGGGATTTGAACCCTGGCAATTTAGATACAGAGATCTTGCCTCATATTGCCTTATTTATAATAGATAAAATTTTATTAAAAGGTGATTTTCAGATAGGTTTTGTTTTTACAATAGGAGACGCGTTATGTTACTAGGTATTAATATCTCATACTGCTATGACCAAGAATTTAGGTGGAAGAGAAAATAGAAACCTACAAATTTAGATAATACTTTAAAATTAATTTTTACTTCCATTTTTTTTAGTGTAAAAACGATACACATGTTGGAGAAATCATGAAATACTGATAAGAAAATGAAGAAAATAAAAAAATTACTCATAATCACACCTTCAGAGATAACTATTTTTTAAAGATTTTATTTATTTTTAGAGAAGGGAAGGGAGGGAGAAAGGGAAACATCAATGTGTGGTTGCATCTTGTGCGCCCCCTACTGGGGACCTGGCCTCCAACCCAGGCATGTGCCCTACACTGGGAATTGAACAGATGACCCTTTGGTTCTCAGGCCAGCACTCAATCCACTGAGCCACACAAGCCAGGGCCAGAGATAACTACTATTTGTGTTTTGTGATGTAACTTTCTAAACTTTTCTGTTGCATTTTTGTTTGTATACATTTAAAAATATACAAATAGATTCCTATTGTATATAGACCAAGTTTTTTACTTGTACATTTTTTAT